AAAATCAATATTACAAAATTTATTTTTCCAAAAAATAAGGCTAAACAAATCTTAATTAATTACTTAAAGAGTGATGTGTATTTATTCTATTTTAACATTTCCATGTGTGATGCGATCTCTCCACATGTTTGTACTTTTGAGACTTAATTTATTCATTATTATTTTTTTAAATAAAAATGAAAAGGTTTGCATATAAAAAGTTTTATAAATGAGGTGTTGAAGTAACAGTCACTACTCACTAACTTACTATTATATGATTTTATGATTTAAAAATTAGAACTATATAATCTATATTATTTCAAATCTTTATTTATGCATTTATTTTCTTGGAAGTAAAATAGAATCTTATTGCCAGGATGTGCTGTAGTCTGGTGGGTGAATTCACTGTCACAGTTCCCTAAATGACACATTAATCACTATTAAATTACACAAATTAATTATTCCACGTAATACAAACAACTTTGTCCAAGTAACCGATGTATGGAGGACGGTCTAGTCCCAGCCCATTTCCTTTTTCAGAGTAAAAGAAAGTATAATTTTTTTTATATATCAGTTTGACTTGTTGCCCGGTCCTCAATCTGTTCATTCAACCCATTTTTGTTGTTTCATTGTCATATCTACAATACGACCTTAGCCCTTTAGGTTATGTCTCAAGACTATAGATTTGATCTCTCACCATCCATAAATAAAGAAAATCTTTTGTCGAGGCTTTCAAACCTAATAATGATATGCTTTGTGTAGGGTTTGAGTTTTATCTACAATAGTTGTTGCCTTGTCTAGCATCAACTCCTGAGAAAGCCTCACGACCTGGCGGTCCGGCCAAGTAAAGAAATTTAATGCTCCACTCCAGCCAAGTGGGCTTTGGATAAAAATTATATTTTTAGTAAATTTTGGTAAAGTTGATGAAATTTGTCGTTGAAAAGTTGATAAAAATTGTAAATTTTATGAACCGGCCATTCATCTTTGCCTTTCTTTTCTTTATTTTTTAAATATGATTTAACATTAATTCAACTCTTTCATTTGCTAACTAGCTTCCTCTCCAAATGGGAAGCACGTCCATGACTTGAGAACCTCCAAGTCTACATCACATAGAAGGCCTTTAGCGTACCAGTTTAGCTATTTGGTCAATGACAATTTATCTTCTTTGGACCTATCTCATATCTCAAAGTGAAGCGATAGATGAGATCGAATGGATGTTAACAAATGATAGGATTGGATGATATTGACAAAAGCCGGACAAAGTAAACTCGAGCAACATAATAGTCCCCAAGAGATTAGAAATGTATTTTTTATAGGTACATTAACGTTTATGAAGCTCATTCTCTTTGACTCCAATTTTATTATCAATAATTTTAAGATGGTCGTCGATCTACATGACATCTAGAATAACATATTTGAATCCCATTCTCTTTAACATCAATTTTGCTGTTAATAATATTAAAATGGCTATCGATTTAATAACATTTAGCCCCTTAGCCCTTTATTTGGTGAAATGTATGATAAAAGTAATTTGATGAAATATATGATTTTATAGATTTATGAAATATGTGATTAAGAGTAATTATTGATTTCGACTCTCAAGACGTTATGAAACCAATTCAC